CTTAAGGCTACCTCTTTTAACTCCCAAGTAATTAGACTTTTTAACATTAACCCTCTAACTTTATAATTAAAGCAGGAATAGTCCAAAAACGTCCCTTAAATCACTTAAGGAAATTCGACCCAGACTGGGATTACGCAGTCTGTGACGGCCCGTCGTGCCTGCGACGGTCCGTCCTGCTTCCCCGTCACAGAGTTCAGAGACTCAATTTCCCTGAAGAGTCTGTGACGGTCCGTCGTGCCCACGACGGTCCGTCCTGCCATTCCGTTACGAAGTTCAGAGAGTCGATTTCAGTACCCAAATTTCAGAATTTCTAAGTGTTTTGAAACAAGACCCTGCGACGGTCCGTCATGCTCATGACGGTCCGTCGTGGGGTCCGTCGCCTCAGCCAGTTTTCCAGAAATAAAATCTGCTGCTCAAAACGACTAAACAGGTCGTTACAGGAAATTTCTTATGTTGATTTCTAAATCTCCAGATATTGTTTGAGCTCATGAGGTAGTAAAGGTGATTTATTCCCAAGTCAAATCTCATTAGTTAAACTGAAAAATCACCTTTAGATATATGGCTTGAATAAAGTATGATTAATAAAATGTCTTCTCTTTTTTCTTTATGTTTTAGAAATCTTAATAACTCAGTTGATTTGCTATATCTGAACCTTCACCTTATTAATGAAGGTTCAATTCATTTGTAATACCTCTTCAATTTCTCCTTTCCTTACCTCCATTAAAAAAATATATCATTTTTTATTTGTTTGACACATTTTATTTATCGAGGATCAACTTTTGTAGCTTAACATCGGGCACTAGACGTAAAGTTATTTTTCTAATTAAAAATTTCTGGTTTCGGAAACTATGCAGAGAGGAACATAATCAAAAGTTAACTTAATTAGTGAATTCCTTAATTTTACTCAAAAAAAGAAGATCAAGATTAATAGATCATGATCCACCTTAGGTCTATTTTCACCTTTATTGCCACCATGTTTTGTTATTTTTTAATTTTTTTTTTGCAAATAGTAACTAGTTTTCTAGTTACTTCTTATTTAATTCTCAATTGTAATAGAGAGTAAGATCTAGTCCTTCCTGTTTAGATGTATCTTCTTTTAGGGTTACAATTTTAGGCCCTAAATATAACATATCAAGACATGTCACTCAAATTTCAACAAGATGGTTCCTCTCTCTTTTCTCTCTGTGTTATCCTTTTTCCTGCATGTGATCTTTTATCAAAGGGAAAATGCTTAAATATATTATCAGATTTTGTAAAAAAGCTTATTTATGTTATTCATTAAAAGTTTGGTTCATTTATATTATTGTCGTTTGAAAAAAGGCTCATTCATGTCATTATTTGTTAATTAAAATGACATATTTGAGCTAATTTTTCAACTTATAACATAGATGAGCCTTTTTTTCAAAGTTTGATGACATTTTGAATCTTTTTCATTTAAAAAAAATGATATAATTAACATAATCATATTTGACCGCGTGTAAAAAATAATTTTGCAAATTGAAACTAATTTCATTTTACAAATAATGACATAGATGACATTTTCTCAAATGAAAAAATGACATAGATAAGCCTATTTTTTTAATGGATATCATACACAAGTCTTTTTCTCAAAGTTTAATGGCATATTTGAATTTTTTTCTCTATTATCAATAGGTCTCCAAGTAGCAAACCATGTTTTCTCATTAATATTCCCCCATTTCAAATAAGTTACTTGTTGAGTTTTCTCTTCATAATTTAAAAGAAGTAAATTGTTCAAAGTTCTATAGAATTTTTGAATTTCTTTTTCATTTTTGTCTCTCATTTACATTTTCTAGGTGATATTTCAAGAGTTAATTGCTCATATTTATAATTTTACTTTAAATTATTTATATTTTCCAGATTAATTTTAAAATAACTATATGGCAAAACTGATGTATAACTTATGTCCTAAACCTTTTTTTAATGGATATGTGATGCCTCAACAAAAGGAAGTAATATAAGAATTTAATTAAGGCAAGAAACATATGACTATTGACTTTTTTAAAAAAATTGAAGAAGTTAAACTATCAATATGAAGCACGCAATCAATTCCGCCTTTTGGTCTTTTTTTTTAGTTGACTATTCAATATTCAATGGTTATACTAATAGGTGTTTGGACATGTAATTTTGTTTTGTTAATGAGATAGAATCGGTATTTCGATATGTGAGTTCATCTCGTAATTTGAAATAATGAGATGAATTCAAAAGGTTTGATATTTGAGAATATTATATAATGATTTTTGTTATAAATTCATTAAATGAGAGGATAATCCATAAAGTAAGTGCATGAATAGCTATCCATATTCACTAGGTTTCATGAACCTTTTTGGATACGAATGTATCTATTTATTATGGTACTTAATATGGTGACTTTTGGAGTGATTTCTCAACCTATAAATAGGGTTGTTCATTCACTATTGTATGATATACAAATGAGACTTACATACACTTGAATAAGAAGAAACTTCTTCTTCTATCTATCTACTTCTCTTGTCTTCTTCTCTTTATAATTATATTCTTATGAGTTTGATTTAACAACACGTTATCAGCACGAGTCTCTAGCCAATTGAGAGTGAGTTTTCATTTTTCTTTAAATC